ACCGATGGTTACCTTACGTGGATAAACAGGTGCGGAAGTGGCTAGCAGACTTGGTTATCACCAAGCGTAAGACACCCACGACGGTAAACCTACCACTGACAGAAGTATTACCAATACGTTACGGCGCAGAGTTCATCAATGGGGGTCTCTCGAGTTAATGAACCTCCCTACGGGAATGGACATGATAGTGGGCCAAGAGATGTCGAAAGGACTCAGCCTGCATATAGGCGGTACACAAGAACCCTTAATTCCGATAGACCCGACGGAACTCGACCAACTTCTTGAACCCATTCCACGACGACAGCTACCTGACTCAACCGAGATTGCCGATGCCAGAGAACGGCTAGCGGCAGACCTAGAAGCAACCGATCAGATTGCTGACAATGCACGTTGTCGCCTTGCCGGAAGTGAAGTCACAATACCAGTCACACGTGATCAGGCAATGAGTATGCGCCAGTCTACACGAAACTTTGTTCGGACCGATGGTTACCTTACGTGGATAAACAGGTGCGGAAGTGGCTAACAGATTTGGTTATCACCAAGCGTACGACACCCACGACGGTAAACCTACCACTGCTAGCGGAACCTACATTCGATGCTGAGGGCAACGTCAAGAAGGTATGAGTATGTCTGGATATGTGAGCAGTCAATGCTCTCATCCCCGGCGACCAGTTCTTGATCCCAAAAGTCAACGAACGCATCTCCCGTTTGAAAAGCAAGAAGTACTATAAACCGCTATCTGCAGTATACTATAGACTGCCGATACACTCTGACTCTCAGTACTTGTTCAGTTTTACACATGAACGATATCAGTATTCGTTCACATCGGCCCCTTTCGGCCTACATGTCCTAGCAAAGCAATTCCAATAGACGTTGAGCACGATACTCGGTGGTCTACTGGTACATCACTACATCGACGGCATAGTTATTGCTAGTGATTTTTATGATGAACACATCAAAATCATCAAGTGCCTATCGTACCATACCTTCAAGTTTAACCCAGCCAAGTGCCACTTCGCGATAGCGGAGGTCATGATTCTAGGAAAGAAGGTGTCCGCACATGGGATTGATAGAGACTATGAGAATCAGGCTACTATATATATGCACTTACACATTTCAGGGAATACCTCGACGGTCAGCGTTTTGTGGTTTTTACAGACCATAAGGCACTCGTGTACATGGACACACAGTTGAAGCTCAACCCGATGCTACAACGGTGGCACCACATCATAGCACCTTTTAACTTCACAGTATCACATATACCGGGCGAGAAGAATGTCTTACCGGATATGTTGAGTAGAGTACATAGTGTGATGAACCTGAGGTCTTCTATACGGATTGTTGGCAGTTGTTTCCCAACTACTTCGAACAGGCGCAACGGCACTTCGGCACTTCGGACCAAACAACATAGACGTGTTTGCGGATGCTACCAATGCACAAATACTTCGGTTATGGACCAAGGATGATGGAGAAGGAGCATTTGCGCACCACTGGTCTACGGTAGACGGTTGGATGGATCCACCATGGGCGAAGATACATAAGATGCTTCAAGCAATTGCTACACATGAAGCCACTCCTAGTGCCACGAGCGGCGCATACGTTCTTGAAATATGGTACTCCAGCGGGAAGACACCATGGGGCCACACGGTCATAGCTCGAGTAGGCCCACCTAATGGTTACGAGCTTAGTACGTCATTTTCGTTAGCGCGACGACT